CATTTGTAAATTAGGATCTACAAAATGTAGTATCAACCTATTTTAAAATTGAATCATTGTGCAAATAATCACTTAACAATTCATATGGTTAATAACTCATTGCAGTGTTAATTGCCTTTTTGACAAAATAAAAGTCAAAATACTCGAGTGTGGGAGAGGCGGTTAAAATCAGCAAACGGTAAAAACAAAAACGGGGGCAGTTCGATTAAAGATGGAGGATATGAGTCATCGTAAACATAACTAGTGTGCATGATCACAAGAGCCAGACCAGATTTATATGCTGATAAATAATGTGCAGCAATAACAGATGCTAACAAGCAAGAAGATGGGAAGAGCTTGTGTTTTTTCTTGTTGTTTTTTATCTCAACGTGATGTCCAGGCCAAAAACTAGATTTTTGGTTTCATTCAAAACATTACATTTCCAGAAGTCTCCCACTCGCAAAAGTGTTGTGTGGGTTTTTTCTCTCTTTTTTTGAGCTTTTGTTATGTTGACACTAAAAACAGAATGGGGAAAAAAATCATTACAACTGAAATCATTACTAGTGTTTGTGCCTCGGGACATTCGTGTGTGTTTGTGTGGTTATGGTTAAGGTTAGAGTACGTATTCACGAAATTACAACAACTCCTCTGAAGTCTGTGTGTGTTTGACAGCAAAAAGAAGCTGTGTGCTCTCTATGGGAAGTGGACAGAGTGCCTCTATGTTGTTGACCCATCTGCCTTTGAAGCACACAAGAAAAACAACAAAAAAGGGGCAGAGGACAAGAAGGGCAGCAATGCGGTATGAATTACTGAACACTGTGGAATCCCTTCACTTTACTGTTGTGATGTTTGCATGAGTAATATCATCCAGTGGTAAAAATGGCAAGCGACCGAGATCATTAGTGTTCATATTTAACACGTTCTGTAATGATGCATCTTGGCTGGAGCTCATCTGTCTGTTCAGCATTATTTGTGTTTGTCGTGCTGTTCAGGGTTGCGCTGAGGATCAGGAGGAGGTTCCTTCACCACCTGCAGACACTGTGGAGGTGGTTCCTGGCAGCCAGCTGCTGTGGAAAATAGCACCCAGACCAGCTAACTCTGTCCAGGTCCTGCTGATTAATGCACCATTAGATCTTTATTGGGTACTCTTAGAAGAAATCCAATGTTTTAACGTACAAACGCAATCTTTAATTGCAGATGTACAACTTCACATGCTTTGCGATGCAGCTGAATGAGTTGCATAAGGAGATGGAGGGAGTCATCCCTCAGACTGACTGCAGGCTCAGACCGGACATACGAGCCATGGAGAACGGTGACATCGGTAATGATTGGTGGTACTTAACCTAAACTGAAACTGGGGGGAAATTTTCATTTGCTTCCTCAAAAAATGTCAAATATTTTGATAGATCTCGCCAGCGAGGAGAAGAAGCGACTCGAGGAAAAACAGCGAGCTGCTCGGAAAAACCGCTCCAAAGCGGATGAAGAGTGGAAGGCGAGGTGAGACTGTTCTTCTTTCTTTATACTTTGACGCAGTAAACATGAAACCATGCAGGACTGACTAATTCCAGGCAATATTAAACCATCAGCCTTTGTTAGTGCAGATAAAATACCATTGCCTTTCTATTACCTCATATGAAGTTTTCATGGCGTATGAATGAATTAACAGTTCTTATCTATATGGTGTCATACTTTGTGTGCTGAAAAAGCTCAAGTTGTATCTCCATTTTATCTTCACTTGTCTTTTTTTTCTGCTGCATCCTCGCTTTGACGTTAAGAAGCCCTGCCCTTGGCCCGAGGTTAGAGCTGTTCGCTGTTCGCATCCGAAATGTTTGATGTGATCACGTGACCTTAACACATCTGAGTCTCTAAATTATCTACCACTGTGTGTATTTTCTATCCAGATATGATAGAGACAAATTTAATAAATCCGCTTTTCCTTCCACCAGCATGGCAGCTCCTCTTAATGGCACCAAATGCAATTACTCAATCACCCCATCTTCCCTCCGAATCATACATTTCTTTCTCACTTTCTCTTGTTTGTATTCAGTTTTGGCTCGCCCTGCTGGGATCTATGAATGCTGATATTTCTGTGATGTGTTTTTTAGGTGGTTTCAACAGGGGCAAAATCCCCACACCAGTTCCCAGGACTGGCTCTTCTGTGGTGGATACTGGAACAGGGCCTACAGCCAGATGCCGGACATTTATTAAAGGACTTTCTCTGCACAAAGCATGAACTGTTTTTATTGGAAAATTACAAGACCAAGCAATATGAAAAAAGTGTACTTAAACAGTGTGGCCTTAATCTACTTTATGGAGGTGAAGCTGTGCAGGAAATGTTTGACAGTATAGCATTTGCATTGACTTAAAGAGGTTTTTCTTTAAAATGGACTTTTAGCACAGTGGATAGGGTTTGTGATTTTTACTGTCCACCTGTCTTCTTTTAAATATTCATAATAGTGTTTTGTCTCCAGTTGTATATCTGTATATACTTTCCATAAATCCAGCCGTCAGTGACCTCATGTTATTTACATTCGCTCTGGACTCGCATTGCACTCGAAAACCCACTACTCGTCTAATGTGGATTGTGATTATTTTCTCCTGTATTTTGCTTTGTGAAGGAAAAAAGATTACAGAACAAAACCCACTGTAAATTTTCTGTATTAGTCTCAACCTTATAAAGATACATTAAGAACTGACTAATATGATTTTTTTATTATTTGTGTTTATTTTTTTCTGACTGCTGAAGACATAGATTGATATAAACCATGAGCAAAGCCTCAGTGATGGCAGTTTGGCCACTGTGATTGCGTTTTGAGCCAGAATATCCATATTTAGACATGAGGGCGAAGTCATGCAAGCTTATTGAGCAACTGACTGAGCACAGAAAAGAGACTAACATTAAAAAAAACAAAAAGAAAATAATTTTACTCAGCAAAAATTAAGATTTTGGGGGGGATGGGCCACAAATACAGTGCAGTCCAGTTCAGTGCTTCAACTTGAGCAGAGATGAAGCTTTCTACAGTGATGGTCCACAGCCACCTGTAAATAAAGTGAACACACACATCTAATGCTAGGCCTCAACAGAATCTGAATAGATGGATATTTAATAAATCGTGCCCCCATACGGTTACTTTAAGGGGAAACTAGAAAGTGCATTTTCTGAAGAAACTGCAGTGTGAATGCTTGAATCTGAATGTATGCATTGAAATGAATTAATTGCTGAATTTTAAGTTAAAAATGTTGAACGAGATGAAAAATACAGAAATTTGCACATGAAAACAAAAAAGCTGAACTGCTAAAAGCTGACAATCACACAGAGAAGAAGTTGGAAAAAAGCTGAAAATGTTTAAAATGTAAATTAGAAAAAGATGAGTAATGAGAAAAGAAAATTTAGAGTCAGACTTTTTCTATGCTTAAGTGCTTTCTATCTAAGATTCACACACATTCATACTCTGATGGATGCGGGCTAACGCCAAGGATATTTGACTGGAGCAGCCAGGGATCAAACTGCAATCTTCCAATTAGCAGATGACCTGTTCAACCTCCTGACCTACAGCCACCCCATAAACCATAGCAATTTGATGACATCCAGCAACTTTAAGGGGCAAAATAACCACTGACAACGCAAACTGGGTGGGTCCCAATACTAGAACTGTACTATACTAATTCACAATGAACTGTTATTTGTTAAAAGTCATCTGTTGCCTATATAATAATCTATTTGTAACCCTAATTGATTAGTCATTTAATGCAGCCCGCTTGAATGTGTAGTAATTTACATATTGCACATTTAGAATAATTTATGACTATTTCTTAGACATTTAAAATATTCTGTCACTCATTTAATGACCTCTATGAGTCACTTCTAATTAGCCAACCATTTAAAGTAAAGTTTCACATGCATATTGATGAACTGCAAATATATCAGAATATACTTACATTTATATTTATATCTGTTACACATTATTGTAATTGACTGCAGTGTTTAGTATCATTTAAAATAATCTGCTGTACATTTATTGTTATTACTTTTTATGACATCTCACTTATTTTAAACGTAGAGCAGATTATTAGACATTTAAAGTGATCTTATTCATATTTTTCGTAATAAAAGTATAACTACACTATAAATAATAACTATATATTTTCTTCTGTACTTAGTTACCCACTCTCTATGTGTGTGAACTGTATAGTAATATCAAAGGGCAAAAATAAAAATAAACAAAAAAGACAAACTTCATTTCATATGACTTGAGCAGCTTTACAGTGCACTTGAATTACAGGGCAGAATACAGTCTTCAAGCCTGTGTGTGCTAACTACCACTACTGCTACAGACAGAAAATAAAAAGCAATTTGTGGGGGGAAATCCATCCATGTCATTCACTTGAACCTTGACACCTTCAAGTTCTTGGTAATGTTTTGCTGCCATCACCAGCTGAGAGTAAATGTGAACTAACAGCTCGCATTACATGAAGGGAAGCACTCCATCTATTGGTCAAACGTAGGGCAGAATTAAGGCTATTAGTATGAGTAAGGTGCGTGTGTATGTAATATTTACCTTAATTTTAAACACGGGAATGAACTGATGCTGTTTCTTATGGATCCTGTCTGTTCCTATACTGATTAATAAGGTTTTGTGTTAATGTGAAGCGACTGATATTGCGACAGATAAATATATCAGATGTTTAAAATTCATTCATCTATTTTCTCCAGTGTATGGAAGTCAGGGTCATGGTAATGCCGGAGCTTATCACAAGTGTCATTGGGTGAGAGGTGTGTTGCACTGTGGACAGATCACAGAGCTAACGCAGATAGATAAACATCCATTCACACTCACGCCTGCAGCCAATTTAGAATGGGATTTGGATTGGGGTGGATTTGTTTAAAATCCACTGCTAAATTTATGGCAAATTTTGCTGTTGTGCTCTTAGATGGTGTTGTGGCTGCATTGAACTGAGTCTCTATCAGTTTTCTCACCTTATCGGTGTTCTGTGGGGAAATAAAAGTAGACCGTAACAGGTTTTCAGCTTCAGGGCGACTATTTTAATATCAATGCGTCTAGAACAGTGTAGGGAGAGTAGAAAATAAGCTTGCAGGTGATTTACAACTCGCTATCATGAGTTTGGCGTCATTGCTTTGTAATGAGCAAATATCAGGAAAACATTCCTGTGGTGGAAAAAAGGAACTGAAGCTTAGAGAAATACAATTCCGTTAGATTGGAAAAATTGTTGCTTGATTTCAGCCTAACTAGGTTTACTATTCCCATCCCTGTTTGTAATGATGTATTTCATTAGTTTGTAGGGCATCTGTTGATGCTCACTGGACCGACCACTCTGGAGGCTTTCGCAAATGCAACCGGCTTTCCATTAAGCTTCACATTTCGCAAGCAGCCCACAAAAGGTGAAGGCACAGGGGCTCCATTTTGATTTGTTGTCCCTAATTCAGGAAAGGAAAAAGCACAAAGAGATTCTGATCAGATTATACGACAAAAAGCTGAAACTCTCTGAAAGATATAATGCCCAGCGGTTCATGGATTTACCCCCAATGTGAAGCGATTCCAGGGCCGTTGAATATGACGTGGATTTGGGGCCTGCTTTCTCCTTGGACACGGAGTCAACCACTAGTTGGAATGCATTCCTTTTTTTGGAGACTGAGAAACAACAATAACAGAAGAATTTTAAAAGCATAACTATCAACATGTGACTCACGTTCTTGAATGTTTTTAATACACGATTTCCTACCTGTAACCTCGTGAAATTTTCCATCACAGAGGCTTTTACGAGGTGTTACTGAGACACTAACAGCTCCATTACCATCATTTGCTTTGACCCCCACCTGGTAAAACATAACATATTTTGTCATCTCATGCAGCTTTTCTTTTGAATTGCTGCCCAATTAGCTGTCACAAGAGCGAGAGGTTTTACCTTGTTTTCCATTAAGAACACATTAAGGCTGGTCTTATCACTTTGAACGTGGAAGAGAAGACCCGTGAGGTGTTGAGGGCGCAGCTTGAAGGACAACAAAAAGTGCGAGCCAACGGTGAAGTAGTTATCTAGAATAGAAATGTTCTTTATGAGTGTGCGGATGATTGAAACACATCAGCAGCATCAAGATTTTTGAAATACAAGGCCAAACCTAAGACGATGTGACCGCCACCAAAGTATGTCCCTTCCTCTGCAAGCCCATGAAAGCACGGTAAGGCTTTGTGGCTCACCTCAGCTGCACCAACAAATACATCATTCATTTTGAATTCCCTTATACAGCTGATAACACTGTCTGTGGGGATGTTGTGTCCCTGATAAAGGACAGGAAGAGAAAAGAGAAGCCGGTCAGTGTGCAAACAAAAAGATGTGGGAAAATATTTGCCATAGCTTGAGTCTGATACAGACTTTAGTGTTTTTGCTTTTTGTACCAGCTCCCAGATACACAGGGTTGTGCAGGTCTAAAGATGATCCCTCATTGTTTGGTAAGCGGCCATCAGTCACACGGATCCCATCAACCAGAAGATGAAAAGTGCTGTTCTCCACGCTGAATTGAACCTGCGCACACGCAAACAAACTCAGCCATCCACAGAATATAACTTCACCATCACTGTGATATGATTGTGATATGACACACAGATATGAGAAAAGAATTACTACATTTTTTCCCCTGCATATTAAGAGTTATGTCCTGACTGTTTATGATAAAAGTGATTTAGAAATTAGTTGTTCCTCCTGCTTTCCATTTATGCTCCAACAAACTTTCAAAAATCAGTTCCATTATGTAATTGCCCACTATGTCATTATTTTTTTTAATGTATTTTATATATTTTGTATATATATTTCTTGTTAGCGGTGTTTGAATTCCCATTGGAAGCTTTCTGATATCAGTAATTTTCTTTTCTGCACCATTTAAATCCTTAACGCTTCATTTTGGCACTGCCCGTTGTTTAGGGAAATAAATACATTTACTTTTTGAGAAGAATAACATATATATTTTCTCTGCCTGTGAGACACTTGGGAACAACAAAAAACAAATTGGTTTTTGTTGTTGTTAATTTTGTCATCCAATCAAAGCTTAATTGGTGCTGCTGTAAAGGTTATATTTGTTTGCTCTAATGAAAGATACCTGCTGCCCAGCTGCCAACAGTAGTAATATTAATTATTGTTTTTCTTTATTATTTTTTTTTATTATTTATTTTGTTTATTCTTTTAGTTTTGGTTACCTTTTTTTGTTCCATTGATCTCCTCTTTAGAGATATCGTCTCCTCCCTCATGTTTCTTAGTGTTTGCCTTTTTCCTGTGTTTCTTTTGCTTCTTTGTTCAATCCAATTAGTCTGACTTGCATTTTGCTGGTTTTCTAGTTTTCTAGTTTTATCCTACTGCTGATAAAATCTATGTGAGATAAGCAACCGAAATTCCCATATATCTGCAACTGTTCCTTTGAAATCAGGAGTCCAATGTTTAGAGCTTTGCTGCTTTTATCACTTAATATTTGTAATGAGACTTGGTTACAAACTCTATGCCAGTTGCCATCATTGCTCTTCTCCTTGTGCTGGATGATTCTGTTTTGACCAAGTGACATCTTGATCTTGCCGTTGGCCATGTACAGAGCCAGGAGGGGGACGGCTCCTCTTCCTGCGACATGGAGGATGAGCCCTTTGGACGATTTGGTATTGATATCAAGAGAGAAGTGAGGCCTGAGACACATGAGAACAAGAACAAAGTCCCTTTAAATGTTTATGAATGAATTCACAGCTGGATGAAGGTTTGACGAGGCACTCTAAAGGTTACCAAACCAAACCAGTCATGGAAAATGCCATTATAATTTTCAGGTTTTAGTATTTTACCTATAATTAAGGTTTTCTTGTGGGAGGTTGTAACTGACCCAGCTGTCTTTCTCATAGAGTTGGTATGCTCTCTGGGGTCTACATTGACTGCCAGCTGGAGTCGTAATCTGACACACAGCAGAAAAATGACTGCTGTTACTATGTCATTATCCAGCAATAGGGGAGCTGAAAAAAATAATAGTTTGATGTGCTTACAAGGTTGTGCGTCTGGGGCCTTTTCATTGTGGAGTGCGGTGGGGGAGGCTGACTGCACTGACCAAAGATAATGTCTCCAGTTTGCGATAATGAGCTTAGATCAGCAGGTAAAATACTCGGCCTGTGTGAAATGAGGAGATTTTGTTTCATCAAAATTGAATCGTGTTATTGTAATAAACAGATATATATTGTGAGATATATTATAAAGCAACTGAAAGAATGTATAACAAACCTGCTTGTATAAAGATTAACAATGCAGCCTTTGAATTTTCCTCTTTGCATGCTGATTTGGTCTGAATGTGCCGGACTCACATTTACATTGTCAATGCTAAGCAGCAGCCTGAGAAAATCATGACAACATTAGCGACGTGCTGATTTTAAATTTTAATTGCAATAAAATCCAGGTATCAGCAAAAAGCTGACAGATCTTACCCTGATGGCTTCCCCACTGCAGACACGTAATGCCAGACTCCATCATTATACCTTTCATTTGACCTCAGGGTATAATTAAAACTATAAAAAACCACAAAGCCATCGTCCAGGGACAACTGGAGATTGTGGACAGGTTTGGAGCCCTGCAGTGAGAGTACTACTAAAGTCATCTTGATATTTTCCTTTTGATTTTCTTTTAAATCAAAAAGTGTGGCACACGAGATTTACCTGAGAGCCGCTCTTCAGAACAACGCCCCGCTTGCCTGTGCTCCTGAAGCCTAACGAGACTCTCACTGGCTGTTCGTCCCAGGCAAACAGAGAATCGACAGAAAGAGCCGAATTCAATGTAGCTGCACGAACACCCTATACACAAGCCAGAAACACACTAGTATTAGACCCCTGTGTCTACAGGCTATTCATTTAGTGTTTTAAAGCTAGACAGAGATTGACTTTTGAAATAGGAAATGTTACATTTTTCCACCTACAAATGAAAAGTTAACTTTTTAAGTAATAAAGCGCACTATTGTTGAAGTTGAATACACTACTATATCCTTAATGAGTAACCACTGGCAACTAATTTAAGCCCGTGACAGTTATATTATTTTAATATGAATATAAGAAACAAACTGCTGCTACAGTCTTTTTTCCCCTGTTATTTCCAGGTAGGTGTGATAGCTAATATTGGCCACATCATGCTACTGACTTCATGATTATTCTTCACAATAACGATTGGTTCATCATGGTTTATGGATTTGTTAAGTGAGGGGTGTCTCTGACTGGAAAACTGAGATAAGGGGTTTGTCAATCACAAGGTACCTTGCCGTGAAGCGCCTCAATTAAACATCTATTTTACACTTAATGGTGCCATAATTTTCAAAAAGAACACGCTGCTATGTTACATAAGACACAAAGTTAATAAGGCAACAATTTGATGGGGTACTGAGATCTAAAAGTGAGAAGTAAGTACATTTGTACGAGCAGGTACAAACACACTAACGAGGAGTTTTCCTCCTGCTGTGCATTAGAAACTAGGCACATTCGAAGCACCGCTGCACAGGCATCAATTCTCATACTTAGATACTTAATTGGGCCATAATTTTAAAAAGGAACACTCTGCGTTATTATATAAGACACAAAGTTATCAAAACAACAAGTTCTTGAAGAGCTAAAATGAAGTGAGAAGTAGGTACAATTTCTCATAAACTTTTTAAAAGTCTGACTAAGGAGAATTACCCCCCTGCTGTGCATTAGAAACCAGGCAGGTGCCGTGCACTTCTGCACTGGCTTCACTACTCAGACTCTGCGGTTAAGTCCATCTTTTATTTAAAAAAAAAAAAAAGTTTCAAAAAGTCTATCCTCTGATCATCTGAGAGAAATTTTAATGCAGATTTGTAAATGGTAAATGGCCTGTATTTATATAGCGCTTTTACTAGTCCCTAAGGACCCCAAAGCGCTTTACATATCCAGTCATCCACCCATTCACACACACATTCACACACTGGTGATGGCAAGCTACATTGTAGCCACAGCCACCCTGGGGCGCACTGACAGAGGCGAGGCTGCCGGACACTGGCGCCACCGGGCCCTCTGACCACCACCAGTAGGCAACGGGTGAAGTGTCTTACCCAAGGACACAACGACCGAGACTGACCGAGCCCCGGACCGAGACTTACCAGTGAGGAGACTGGACATCCACTGCTGACACCTATTGTCCTGTTGTACTCGACAATCTCAGCATCTGCTTTCAGGTTATCCACGCATCCCCTGAGCGGTGCAGCTGTGATGTTGTGTCTGAGATTCAAAGGCAGACAGGCTCATAGAAAAGGTCAGTTTGATTAGCTGATACTGTTTTCTTCTAGACTACTCAACACACACATTGGCACTGGCATTTATATGTCATATAGTAATGGTCATGAGAGTGGTTTGATTTTTTTGTAAGTCTTTCAGTAGGGAATTATTTGTTTCCCTCCCAGAGGAAGCTGAGTTTGACATGATTTTAAAACCATCGTGTGTTGCATTACCTCTCTCTGAGCTCTGCTGGAAGACCCCCAATGTAATAACTGATGTAGTCTGTTTGAATGTGATCTGTGGAGACCGTATTTTGCCCATAGTACACAATTAATTTATCTGCAATGGCAATTGCAAACTGCGTGTCCTGAAACAGGAAGCATATGCTTAGAAAGGCATGAATTTAATAAAAAAGACTTTCAAGTTTTTTAACTAATTGTATTGTTGTTCTTACAAACAGAGACACTCTTTCAGCACTCCGAAGTCTAATCTCTCTGTCAGCTTGTTGACCTTGTAGCACAAGGAAGCCTCTCTCCACAAACACACAGAAAAAGGACTCCTAAAACAGAAGAAACACATGAATTTTAAATCTTTTTTTGTTTGTTTTTTTGTTAAACATGCAGTTATATAAGTGCTTCAAGCATCTATTCAAAAATTAAAATCCTACGTTGTTTCCAATGTAGAATAACAAGGCATTTGTTTCTCGGCTGTTTGTGTGAAATCTGAACAGTCGCCTCTTTTTCCAGTCAGGATCCTTTATGAACGCCATGCGGTAACCTCTTCCTTCATAATAATCAGACACCTCTTCCTGTGCAATCCTAAACACATAATTTAATCATTATTTGACCTTTTCTAGTCAACACAATGTCCGACCTTTATTTTTAATTTTTTGTTTTATGCTTACTTCACAGTGTGCTGTTTTGCATCCATATTGACAGCATGTTTGAAGTTAAAAAGGCAGACAGGATTATCATTCAGGTAGGAGAGTTTTATGGCTCCTCTGTACTTGGGGTAACGCAGCTCCACTGGAGGCTATGAGAACAAAAGAGGACTGAAAATTGGACTGAAAAAGTGAACATGTCATTTACTAATGCAAATGATTTTGTTGAGTACACTCCTGTTCTCTAGGGCTCAGAAGCTCTAAGCTATTTTTCATTAACCCATTCCCACAAAAGGATGATGACAGACTGTGATAGGGACTTTGTATTTCAACTTCTTCACAAAAAGTACCTTTCTCACTAAATTGTTCAATTTCAGTCTCTGAATAAGACTGTTTTATGTCATTCATGCAGTCTATGGAACCCTATTTCCACAAAACAAATATTGTCATATATACTATAAAACAGTGATATAATATATAAAATCAAATCCATATCAAAATTGGGAGATCATGGCTTCCATCAAAACACTTCTTTCAGCATCAAATAAATTCCAAATAGTTTTCAAAGAAAACTTAGAAAATCATGCAATACGTTGAGTTACCCCATGAGTCAAAATCTTGACAATAAACAATACAATAAACCTTTTTCCGTACTTTTTTCTTTACTTCTTCCACCCATCAAGTCAACTGAAGCTGTGTGTGCTGGAAACTAGTTTTTATATGTTAGCTTTTCCTTTATTTAAAACCCATTATCTTTGGCTAAACAAATGAAAGACACAGTGTCTAAACTTTCTGTGTGCTTGCTTGTGTGTTATACAAAAGTTATCATTGCTATTGCAACGTTTACAATTTTACACAAGCTTATTAAATGAGTTTGAATTGGCTTTGAGTCGTCTTTCAACTCTCTACCCCTTTAAACACTATAAATTTGCAGGCAGGATGAAATGAAAGCAGAGACTTATTACAGTGAAGTAATCGGGATAGCCCCCCACGTAGAAAACGACACTGCCTGGATCCAAGTCGAAGACGCCTGTCATTGTGTTTGGGAGGTTACGTTTAGGAGGGAGACTGACACGCTCCTTTGACGTGAAGTTCTTTGTGACGTTCACTTCAGCATCCTGGTAAACCCTGCAGGAATTGTTGGCACGAAGATAAGAAACATTTTGGTGACATCATGTAAACTTTCAGCTAGCAAATCCATGTTCATTTTAAAATACACTTCTACCATATGTACTCAGTACCTGTGGAAGATAACTCTGTCAACGGCTGAGGAGTTCACGCTTCCGAGTGTTATTTGGCTGGTTTCTATCTCATGAACCACTCCACCCAACTTATAGACACAAACCAACACAGTGTTTCTGATAGCCATTCCAATGTAGTCTCCAGAAGCCTAGAAATGTAATAAAAGAAACCTAAGGTATATTAAAGAAAAAAACAAAAAACTACATCATGCTTCCTGTGTAGGCCGGTATGCACGCTCACATTCTTGCTGCCCAGGTAGAAAACGAACAGGTTGGCATCTCTGTGTTCATCCTGGTGTCGTTTTCGTCTCACATCAGACTTAGCCGGGATTTTGTGATGCCGATTGAGGAGAAGATCGACAGCTGTAAACGCTTTAATGTCCTCAAGGTCTCTTGGAGGATGAAGCTCAATGTGGCTCTTTCCATTGAAAGTGGTGCCAAGAGAGAGCTGTGATAAGAGACGGTAGAAATTGTGTGTGTCACAAAAACAGATGATCTATGTGTTTTTAAAAAATAAACTATTGTATTCATACATTTATTATTTTATTTTTACAACTTAGGGGTAATGGAAACAAGGTTGCACTACTTTGAGTTCTATTTTTGCTCCACCAACTCAAGCAGAATTTCTGGGGTTTTTTGGTATTTCCAATGTGAATGTTTGCATCAGAGTTACTAAATGAAGCAGCTTCCCACATGTAAATAATTGTAATGTCACCATCCAAGTAGTAATTCTAGCTGGTAAAGTCTGTTGATTTCTGAAAGGTCAGACTCAGCAAAAAAAAAAAATGTAACCAAGTATATTAGCTTTTTGACTCAGCACCAGCATTTAAGGCCGTATTGTGTTCAGCAGATTATCTAAAACTTCCTGAGAGCAGTCGCATGTAGCTGACCCTGTAACCTGGTTGATCCTCCAGACAACAGATGTCAGTCTGGGCTGTGCAAAAATTTAGTTTCCCATAGCTGGCAGCCTTGTTACTCCTGATCAGAGGGGAAAATACTTTCAGCTTTGTCTATGAATCAAGCCAAAATACAATCCAGCTATCATGCTCTGTCCTCCTTTCACCAAAAACGAGGGAAATACTGAAGATAATCTCTGCACACTCCAAGGCCAAATGAATTCTCTTTGGATAGTGCTTACATAGCACTTAATATATAATGTGTTAATTTGAAACAGCCTTAAGCAATATATTAGTACTTTTGAGAGTTTATAATGACTCTTCTATATTGTCAATGCTGATCACTCATCTGTTCTTATATTACTTGATCTTACTGTTGCATTTGATACAGTGAATCATGAAATATTAATTTCCTATCTTCAGCAGTGTAGTGATATCAATGGCACTGCTCCAAACTGATTAAAGTCATATCTGATTAACGGTTCTTTTTCCAGTAGGATTTGTTCTAAAGCGTCCACTTTGACCCGTGGAGTACCACAGGGGTCGATTAAAGGCCCTATTCTGTCTCAGGCTTCATACCTTAATGTCATGTAAAGAAACCTGGTGTAAATTGTGATTCCTCTCTGAAATTAAAGACAGATTAAATCTGTCACTATAGCTAGCTCCTTTTAATAATGAAAGTCAAACCTCTTGTTTAGTTTATTAACCTTTAATAACCTTTCATCATATTATTATGTTTTCCTAATTGTTGTATCGATTGTTGTGCAGCACTTTTGTCAGGGTCTGCTGTGCTTTAATGTGTGAAATAAATGAACGTCCCTTGACTTGAAAAGTAAATTGCAAACATAATAAAATATCTGTCTCGGTAATAGCAGGTAACACTTTACATTAACAATCATTAAAAAATTGTAAATATCTTGTAATTAGATCAAAAGTTTGTATTATTGTTTTTGCTCGTATTGTTAATACTCCTGTTTGAGTTACTTCCTGTTTTATTGAATAATATTTTCTTTGTGATCGTTAATAACATCCTGCTTCCCTCTATTTTCTGTGCCACTTTTATTCAACTAGTTAATCACTCGCCCCAGCATATGTACCACCTGTTGTTCATTTTTCTGTTGCCACATGGTCTTTTAATGTCTTGGAGTCAAGCATTTAATTTAGTGCAATTTTTTGTGACATGATTTTATTTATTTATTTATTTTATTCATTTTTATTATTTTAAAGTTTTTTTGAGAAGTGTGGATTTTTTTAATTAGTTTTTTTTATTTCACTTTTGTGTATTTGTTTGGCCTTTCTGAGTTATTTGATTTTCTTGTATTGCATTTATTAATGAAAGCAATGCAATACTGTGAATTTTTACATTTTAGCAGTGCTAATTTCTCTTGAAAACTTGAAGATACCTGCAAAGAACCATGAAGCTGAGGAAAACTGCAGACACAGCCGACAGCTTCATAAGGTTCAGTCTGCAAGCTACACATTTCATATGCACACTGTACTGTCATACACTGTGAGGCTGTTCCAGCTTTAAATCAAATCTGACAAGTCAATTAAGAAATTAATAGGAAAGATGAAATTAAAAAGAAAATGTTACCCTATTAACAAAGTTTCTTGTCTCCTCTATTATGTCCTTGATTCTCTGGATGCTTTCTGTCATGTTTGGGTGAGGTGACATCCTCCTACCAAGAGCCTTGACTTCTGCGAGCTTGTCACTCATCACAGGGAATGCTTTGTTGAAGCTTTTTACTTAAGCGGATAAAATAACAACACATAAAACCTTTAAATGACTGTATTTTAATTGCAAGAATATGTTTAAGGAATTTAAACACTTACCAGCCTGGTCTGCATCTGTCAACATGTCATTTATATTCACACTGATATTGGTTAAAGTTATTCTTCCCACTTCCTCGCTGATATTTCTCAGTCTCTCTTTCACACTGCTGACTGTAGCGTTAGCATCAGAAGCAGCAGTTTTCACAGACACTATCAGTGCCGCTGTGTCATCTGAAATACAAAAGAAAAACTATCATATGCAGATACAATAACTAATTTGACGTTTATTTTCTGATCTGCATCAATTCCAAGTGCTCTACAAACCTCTTTTGATCTCTTTGAGTTTGTCACCGATGGATGAGGTGTCGATTCTCAGTGATCTTCTTTTTTTCTTTTGTTTATTTACACGATTCCTGTGAGCATTTATTGTACGTGACACCGCTGTTCAAAAGAAATTAGAACACCTTTTCATTTTGCACATTCAAACTCAATATATTTGTCTTGATACTTGTTTTGTTTTTACATACTTTTAAGGTGACTTTGAGTGTCTCTGGTTTCCCTCCATAGATAACTTGAGTTATCTTTCAGCTGTTCAGACCTGCTGATCAGACCTCCCTTCTTCACATCCTAATTTATCATTCAAATATTGCATTAATATTTTCTATAAACACGTAGATTTTTTAATAACTCTTACTAACAGCACTGAAGTTACCTTTAAGGTTTGATCAGCAGCCCTTTTGGACTCCTTTGCTGCCTTCTCAGCCATTTCTACTGCCTTAATGATGCTGTCATAGGCCCCTATACCCAGGAGGCTGACCAGTGAAGTGCTGTTAGTAGCTGTATGAAGCGCTCTGTAACAAAATCCAAGATGGTCTATTATGTTAAACGAGAAACGGGGCCCAAGCTAATCTAAATCTGCCTTGCTTCTTTATTTGTTCTTGGGATTCACACTCACTGTTGTAATTCTGTCACCACTCTTTTGAGCTCCTTTGCATGCTCCTCTGCCTGGGCTATAGCTTCCACCTCTGCTATTTTTAAACTGTTGTTTAACTGCTGAAAGTGTTCCAGCTTGGCACCATCCAACTGAGCTGCTCGCTTCTCAAATTCCTGCAATTTAAACAGTAAACTTTAATGCAAAGTCCAATACTTTTGAGAAGTTATAAAAAGCTGCTTATTACTTTTTTAACTTCCTTAAGTATCGACAAATTGTCAGTAATGTTCTTTAGCAGATCTTTAGTCATTTCAGTCCCAGGATGGAGAGTGCTTTGTTCTTTATCCAGCTGAGCTTTAAGATGCTGGAAAAAGAAGAAAGATAAAACAGTGTGTCATCAGAAATGTATGACATGGCCAATGAGAGCTTTATTTCTCATTACCTGCAGCTCCTGTAGGGCAGTACGACTCTTGAGGTTAAGACCCCTTGCTCTGTCAACTCTGTCCTCTGCATCCAACAGCAGCTCGCCCAACTCTCTCACAGCAGAATGTGAGGCCATGAGAGAGTCTCCACTCTGAAGCAGGATGAGTTGTTTCATTTCTGCAGCAGCTATCATGTCGTTGCTGATGAGTTCTAACACTGAAGAGAGTATGCAAAATTTAGATATCAGAGTTATTTGATATTGGCCACAGAATGTCTTCTAACTCTAATTTTGACAATTATATTTTCATTAATTATGAAATTATTAATCTGCAGTTGTGTTTCTGAAATGGTTTGGCTGATTGTTCATGTCCTCTGTTCTGTTTAAAGATCTGAGACGCATTCCTGCCACTACAGTTAGGTCCATATATATTTGGACACTGACACAAGGTTTTATCATTTACTGAAACATATTCCAATCATAGTTACATCATGGACTTGGACATTATCTGTAGACTCAGCTTTCATTTGAGGGTATCCACATTCAAATCAAATGAAGGTGTGGGCAGTTTCTTCGTACTGTCATTATCAATTAAACAGAGAAAAGACCTGGACTTAATTTGAGGTGTGGTGCTTGAATTTGGAAGATTTTCCTGTGAAGATGCGGTCAGAGGAGCTCTCCATATCTTTTTGTTCAACCTACTGAACGAAAGCCAAAGGCCTGCACTTCAACTGCATCTGAGTTGTTTTGTTGGAAATCATTGTTGTAAAGTACAGAACTAAAATTGGAAAAAAGTTGTCTCTGTCCAAATATTTATGGAGCTAACTGTATATCTGCCACATATTTGTGTTTGCTCTGGTTCAATAAACGGTGAGAGCCTGGGTCACATACACTATGGGAGTCAAAACTATCTCCACATCCAGACTATTTGATTTGCACACACAGATTAATCTTGCTGCCAGTCAGTCAAGAGTGGAGGATTAAAGTGAGAATCACCCCAAATATGGAAGTATAGGTTAAACCAAGGAAGTATACTGGGCCTGATGTTTTCATGAGAATAATTCTGCTATCTGGGCATAGATGGATGTATCGACCCATTCGGTATAAAGGTACATGCTGGCTACTTAGCCTAGCATAAATACCGTAAACAAGAGGAAGAAGAGAACATCTGTAGTGTGTAAAGTAGTCACCTTTTTAGTTATTGGTGGGTATTTGTTCCTATTTCCATTTGATTTCAGCAGATATGCTGCAGTTTCATTTTTAGCAAACGGACATGCCAGTTGGTTATTTCTTAAAATGTCAATTAAATCTTTATACAGTCATTTTTATATAAAAACATTAGTGAATTCTCAACTGGTGAAAGGGGGTTGGTCTTTGTGGAATAATTTAACATGAAACACAATGTTTGTATTTAAAATACTAAATGCCAATGTGTCCATTTTCAGCCCCACTCTCTCTCCTCATAAGCATACTGTAATCTCTATGCTCAAGGAAAAAAGATCTCTAACATTTATGTGCCTTCTCCTGCTCGCTTCCTGCTTTGTCCCTCTGAGCAGTGCAGCCTCTCTTTCTCATTTCCTGCATGATGCGCTGAGCTTCTTCCATCATCCTGCCTTTGTCCTTTTCAGAGAGAGAAACTGAATCTTCAGGTTTCGCCTCAGTTAGCTGCTTTATCAGATCTGACAAGAGGAGAGACAGTGCTGTTAAATGATATAGCTGAGCCCGATGCCCACTTTGACATAACAGGTAATTCGGTTTCCTTAACAAGTGTCACAAAGTCTTTGGCAGGAGAGGCAGGAAAGGTCTGCTTGTACCTGATATCACTGAGCAGAAATTATTAAAGTTAGGAACACTCCAACTTCACGCTGATAAGACCACATATATTTTCATATTTCAGAGATGTACCTTGTATTGGTGTGAGAAGACCTCCTGTTTTAAATAGATCTTCTGCCTTTAACTTCGTTTCATTTGCAGACTCCAAGGTCTTCTTCAAATATGATGTAATGTCAAGGTTCTGGTAAAATTTTGGAAAATATTTAAATATATTTAATAATAAGCCAACATAAAGAGCTGGGAAAGCTCCCTGTGGGTTCTCTGTCTTTCATTCTATTTGGCTATCCTCTACTATTCTAATATGAGTTTGCATTTACAATTAAAAAGGAAAAATTATCAGTCTCTTGGATGAGTTACATTTTGATTAGCATGGGAAAATTCACTCCAGGTACCTCATCACTCAGTTGAGACAAGTCATATCTGTCAGCAGCCACATCTGCTTCCAGCTGTTCAACCTTTGGATCCAGGAGTCTCACAGCAGTACTGTGCCTCCCCATCTGTACCTAAGAAACATTAGATAAGAAGTACTTTGAACTTGGATAAATGTTGCTGCATGATCTGAAATAGCAAATATTCTCAAGGGCAGTGTATTTTCTCAGAAAAACACCTATTCCCTGTGTGAATCGCTACCTTTGCTTCAGATATGTTAGCCTCCAGGTTGTTCAGAGTAGATCGTGATACAGGACTATGACTGATGTTCTGCAGCTGCTGCTTCAGCCAAACCAGATCATCATCCATCTTCTCCGAGTCCACCAGCAAAGTGTAAGTACAGCTGTCACACTCTGCTGGTAAAGGCAAGATGAAATGTAGTGAGTCTTAGTTTTATAGGTCAAAACACGACTGCAAGATGAACTTTCAACACAGACTCACCATGACAGTGATCCCCACAGTTACTATTACCAGATGTGATGCACTCTGTTGAAAGGAAAAAATAGTAAAGTTGGATCTCATCACATGAAGGCCACTTTAGCTTTCATATTAGCCCATGTATGCAAATCCATATATGGAGATACAGGCTACAAAAATATACAGTAAGTATAAGTAAGTTGTAGGAAATCAAACAAACAACAAACAACCAAAAATACATAAATAAATACAATTTCATTTAAAATGTATATATACAATAATATTAATTTTATGCCTTAAATAACTAAAATTACATCAAGAACATGTAATTAAATTAGATGCTGAGGAGCATGCCCGAGAAATATGAGAAGAATTGAAAGCAGACCTTCATTAAAGCAAAATAAATTGCAACCAGACACTCTGTACCCATGGAGGTCATGTTTAGTCTCTCACAGCTCAATGACTACAGACACCGTCCTTCAGCAATGTTTTCACTCTATGTTACTGAGTGGTGATTTCCTCAGCTGTATTTGTAGACTATACATTACAGATGCATTGCAAAGTGAACCTGGAGAAAACATCGGTGCACTTCTGGCACAAAGGGATTGAGATCTTTTTTTTCTCAATGAGTAATTATCTATTTATTCATTACTTATTATGTATTTCTTTATTGCATAAATAGTCACCTCCAGTCAGAGAATCACACATGTTCAAACCATTCTTCTTGCAGTTGCAGGGCTTGCACATGCCCCCATGCACCATGGGATTGCCATAATAACCAAATGCACATCTTAAAAGGGGGAAAAAACACGAGAAAAGTAAATAAGTTTGAGGGTTGGGGCGTTTGCTGCAAAGATGAAGATGCAAATGATGTACGGTTACCTCTCACATCTGACTCCACTGTAACCATGTTTACACAAACATTCCACCACTCCTGAGCCAACATCGAGGCAGGCCAGTGCAAAACTAAAACAAAGAGTGAAGGTCTTCATATTCACGCAAAACAAGGAAAAGGAAAGCTGTGCAGGAAGAGTAGGACATAAACAGATACTGACTTGTTCTCTGTAAAGGGACATGGACAGGCACGACAGGTTCTGTTCACTGGATCTTCAAAATAACCCTCCTTGCAACATTCACAGCGATTTCCTGCAGTGTCGAACTGACATTTCTAGAGGCCAGTTAGATCAAACAAAAGAAAAGGAACATGGTTTCCATCTGGCCCAGCAGCGTGACTACAAATGCTACAACACTGACATCTGCTACAATATTGTTTCTCAGCAGCAGAGACATCACTTGTATCTGAGTAATTATTGTCTTTTTGTGTGTGCATGTGTGAGTCAGCACCCACCACACAGTTCCCTGTACGCTCATCACCCTCATCGGAGAGCCTGTTGCAGCTGCATGGCACACACTGGCCCCTGTTCGGTCCGGCCCACTCTCTGTAGAAGCCAGAGCTGCACTTCTGTAATGACACAGCGAGATGAACAGTCGACTATGGGGCGATTAACATAATGGAAAACTCCAGGGGTGCTTGACCTACTTTAAAGTAATGCATTACCACAAATCAATCATTATACAAGGTGTAAATGCAGTTCCTGCTGTAGTATTTGCTGTAAAGTGCACTGTAAGAAAAAGTCCTAATATAAAAGTATTTTACAGTTTTGATCTGTTCTTCTAGAATATCATTAAATTTACATAAATAGACTGTGATTTCACATTTCAAATGTAAATTAATGTAAAATCACTGTAATGTAATAAAACATAATTTCCTTGTTTTGTAAATGTATTTGTCTGTACATATGCATATTTAGATTGTTAAAATACATTCACAAATGCATCATGATTGCACAAATATTTGTTCGTTATGTGAAGGATTGAACTGTTAAATTCAAATGTAATGCTATGGAAAAATATATAACATGATTCCTATAAACTTTGTTTACATCAAATAATTATTACTATTATTGCTATTTAGGGTGATCGTGGCTCAAGAGTTGGCAGTTTGCCTTGTAATCAGAAGGTTGCCAGTTCGAGCCCCGGCTCGGACACTTTCGGTCGTTGTGTCCTTGTTAAAGACACTTCACCTACTGGTGAGGGGCCGATGGTGCGATATGGCAGCCTCGCCTCTGTCCCAGGGCATGCAATGCATTATTATTTAAACCAACTGTTAACTGTATATTTCTGTACATTTAAGTATTATTATTCATATTGCCACATTCATTGACCTTGTTTATAGGTAATTTCATTGTTTGATCACGTTAAAATGCTCCTAATTTAATGTTTAAAAGCACATGAAAAAGGCAAAATCCCATGTAAAATTAGGGCAACAAACTGTATTGTCATTACTGAAAATAACCATATTTTTATGGGAAAGTTATTTTCTGTTATTTCATGGTATTATTTTGGCGCCCCAGCTGCCGGAATATTACTGTTTTTCTAGGATTTTTTTTTTTAACAGTGTGGTGTGCGACATAGAGATACGTATTGAAGAGCATGTGCATGTTGGAAATGAGTCTGCTCCAGGTTATTATATATCCAAGTAAAGGTCTGGTGAGCTTAGGATATCTGGCACGTAAAAAAACTCATGTCTGATAGTGACTGCACAAGAGTTAATAGTAGCTTTATATGCTCAGATCACAAAAACCGAGTCACTAAGATTTCTTGACCTTGTTTTCTCTCACTGCACATAATGTAATAACAAACAGTAGTATAGAAAATAAGAAGGAAAAACACAGTGAGTAACAGATAAGCCAAAAAGCAGCTGCATTACCTGAGTGGCAGCACCTGCTGTCTGGTTGCTGAAGGAAGGATCACAGAACGTTTTCCTGCTGTGCTGCTTCTGACGGATCTGAGTGCGTCTGTCATGCCAACACTTTGGATATTTCTGAGCAGAGGGACAACTTGGAGCAAAGCAGAGCAAAAACAAAGGCGCTGCAATGCAAAGCCAAGAAGCAGCCCACTGCATTTTAAGTCTTTCAATGAGCCCTGTGAGTGTATTAAAAAAATCCTCCCTGCTAGGAGGGAGCTTCGACTGAACCTTGGAGCTTTTTGTGCGAGAGAGTTGCAGAAAAGCTGGATTGTATAAGTGACTGAGAGTGTAACTATATGTGTGACTTAAGATCAAAGTTCAGTGAGGTGTGGTTGCACACGAAGGAAGACGCAGTGTGTGAAATAAGTGACAAATGAATCTAGAAGAAATCACAACTTTTGAACTCATATGGAATATAGTTTATTAAAGCAAACAGGAGTACCAAAAATATCAAACAGAAACAAAAAAAACCACAGATGTAAAAGCTTTATTTGCACTCACTTTTAAAATAACCATTACATTTGTTCTGTTTGCTCACAGATTCTTGTTGAGGCCAGGCTCAGTTTTTTCTTTTTAGATTTTCAATTTTTTCTCATTTCAACCTAACAAAAATAACAAAAAGTTGCAGTCTGGCAATGAAAGTTACAAATCAACTGTGACTAATATTGCTTACACAGGGTACCCTGATTTGCTTTATATGGTCTAATCTACAAAATCTATATGTTAGTGTGTATAAGGTAGCCCTTTAATCCATGAGGAAAGTGTTTATTGAGGTTACAGAACACAGGAGCCGAGGACCATTTTCCTACTGACTTCTGTACAATTTTGAGTTCTTTTTTAAACCAGAAGAGTCGCCCCCTTCTGGCTGTTAGAAAGAATGGAGATTTTAGTTACTTTCACTCTGAATTCACTTTTCAGACTAAGAAACTACATCTATGTTTAACACAAAGTCTATGAATGAAGGTCACACAAAAAGGAGGGCAACAAAAACAAAACAAAATCCAGTATATGATGATATGTTGAGGGTGGGGGCATTACTGGACAGGGCAAAGGCTCCACTAATTTTGGACAACATCTAAAGGTTTTGGAGCAATATCGCCATCTAGAGGATGTCTGTTTCAGGTAAGACTTTGACAAACTACATTTTGCACATAATGCAACAGCAAGAGTTCAAATCTAAACTGGTCTGCTTCCAATTTAGTCCTATCAGCCAGTGAAAATATCAAAGGCGGCTCTAATCTTTTGAGTTGCTGAAGGTGACCCTGGTATTAATCACACATTTATTTTAGTTATTTTATTATATTTTTTTATTTACCTCACAAAGATGTCCCTGAGAGAAGCGACATGTTCATTATTAAAAGTTTTCAACTTTTCATAAACATTTACTAAACTGTCAGAAAGGTGATTTGGGCTGTATGAGCACTGACTGTTGATTTGTGGAGATGAGGTCCAATGGAAGAGCGTATCCTTGAGATTGCCACATCTTATTAAATCATAGAATAGGGTACAAGGCGTAGCTGGCGAGGCCACAAGTGTTTTGGCCATTCCGGACGATTCGCATAAAGCCGCCTTCACCCCAGCCAGTTCCCCAACTATTGGAGAAAAAAAAAAAGACATTTTTAGGTGAAGAAAAGTGGAGGTTTTGGTCAGATGCTATCTTTTTCTTTGAACAATATTGAACAAACCTGTTCTTGATGATCCAGTAGTCTTGGCCTTCTTGTGAGCCATAGCCGACCAGCAGCACTGCATGATTCAGATTATTGGGGTTGCAGTTGGGCTCGTCATATATTCCTGCAAAGGAAACATGAACCTACTTAACTGATTTTTGGAAATTTGTGGGAAGCAAAAACAAACTGATAACACAACAGTGACATAGAATAACCCTTAACTCAGAGAAGGAAAATTCTTAGTGACCAGTTGTTAGGGAACATTACTTGTGGTATTTCTTACTTTTTACATGGTGGCTTCTTATACATAAAATGCACAAATTTTTAAAAAATGAGGTCCTGTGAATGTAAGCTTTTTGCTTGGGGAAGTTTTTTTTATTCTGTGAAGAAGAGGATATCCTCGGTATGGCACAAAGCTTGGATTGTGAAAACTGATGAGCAACCCACATGCTCTTCACATTTTATGTTTGTGAGGTGTAGGCAACTCAGAATAAAGTTAACCTAAAGGGAATGTGGTTTTTAAGGGGGAGGCACTTAAATTGCACTTTTTAAAGGCAATTTATGAACCAGAGCACCAGTATAAGAGAAATGAAGCTCATCTTGAACCATCAATCATGCAGAGTTACTCAATTAGACTCCAAAAATAAAAAACATGAAGCTGAAAATTACCATAATAAGTCCTGTTTAGCATTTAGTTCAATCTCCAACAACTCCTAATGGGAATTTCTGGGTCTTTAGTTACTAAAAGCTTTGTTGTGTCCCCAAGATAGTTGCTAACTTTGTTTGTCTGCTCACTGTTGCTGAGTATCCGATGGGATTATCAAAGCTTTTTTGCTGAAAAAAATAGCTGCCATACAATGAGAACAAAAACAACTAACAACAACAAAGTTGCACTTTGTCACTCTTTTCATATGTGGCTTAATGTGGCTTTGTTAATCTAAAAATTCTCATTATAGCAGCTCTGAGTTTAAAAAGTCCTCTTCTTATCAAAATCGACTTAAGATAACATAACTGTTATTTTTAAGGCAGTTAACCTGAGCTGTAGAACAGGAAGCTTGCATGATCTGCATCAATAGCAACTGTTATTGGTCCAATAGTTGCCAGAGCATCAGCCATAGCTTGCTCATCTCCCCTGGGAATGAACCTGTAGTCCCTGATGTGAGCAACTGCAAGCCTGCTGTCGTAGAAACAGGGCTGAGTGTCCTGTTAAGAGAAATAAATGTTAACCACAGCATGTCCGCAGAATTATTTACTTTTTTATGATGTAGGATAAGACAGCAGAGTCCTACCACTGAGGTGTATGGGTAGGTGTTTGAAGACTCCAGCCCGTTGCTGACCACATAGTCATAAGCATTGGCCATCCAGGCACCACTGCACCCATAGGTACCAAAGGATTTAGAACAATCCACTAAGTTTTGTTCGCTCAAGGATATCAGCTGACCTGTCTTTTTGTACAGCTGTGCCTCTATAGCTCCCGTAGTGCTGAAGGCCCAGCATGACCCACAAAAGCCCTGCAAAGAACATTTAAAACAAAGATCTGATTGTGATTCAGTCTGAATATACCCACTCATGTGATGGAGGGACAGTCTTACCTGATCTTTAACCTCAGTCACAAAACCCATGTTTCTGTAGTCAACAGCATAGCCATCTAAATGCCTTGCATTGTTACGCAGTCTTCGAGCTGAGACTTCTTTCCCTCTCTTTACAAACTGAGCATTCATCTTGGCACCTTGCAAAACCCGGTATTCTTGTTGTGTCTGCAAATGTAAAACAATTTTTGTTCACAGTATCACAGTATTCACAGTTTGTTACAGCAATTAATCAGACAATTCTTTTTTTTTAAGGTCTTTGTGGAAAATAGTAGGTACATTTAGGAGCTGGTTAACTCCGGTTAAGTTCTTTGTTGAAACAAAACACTTCTACTCTACTACTAAATTCTACTAGAACAAAACAATACTCCTTACTAGGTCTCCATATCTATTCATAGCCATACTGAATGACTTCATCCCCATGAGAAACCTTCGGTTGTTGTCTTCAATCAACTGCTTATTCTCCTCCCAGATGGCTCTCCTTTCCATGTCATCCTGATGGTTAACACAGGAAAAGCACACGCAAGAAAAACTCGAATAAATTAGAGAACATGTGGACTTTTCGTTAGAGAACATTTGCACTTATTGTTGTTGTGAGGATTTTAGATGTGGAGGCTGTCTCACTGATTCATCATAGCTTATGCCATATCTGCTTTTCCAGATCTCCCACTCAGTCGGGGCCTCCTCATCTGAGTCTGCCAGCACGTGCTGCAGGCCACTCAGCAGGACGGACAGCAGAGCAGCTTTCAGCAGAAAGCTGGCCTGCTGGACTAGAAGGACCAGAGCATTGCACAGTTGCATTGTGTATATGTATAATTCATCATATTTCATCATATCATGTTGAAAGGATGGCCTCATGAGCCCTCTGACTGCAACTGTATTATCAATCAAAAGAAAAATGGAAATCTAGTCAATATAAAAAGTGTTCTCTGAGCTTATGTTAGCTTAGGTTAGTTTCTTTAAAAATCAACAGTGAAAATAGACTTAAGGGATTTTATAGAACAAACCAACATATAAAAGAGACATATAACATTATATAAGATTAGTTGTTCTTTTGATATTAAACAAAAAGCTCTGGTCAGCTTACCTTCATGCATGTGAGTCTGTTTTGGTCCCATATTCTGAGAGCAACTCTGAACAGTGACACCGAAACAGACCTGCCTTATAAAGCTTGTCAGTAAGTACATGTTACTACTATACTTTAAGTTAATCCCTAAATCAACACTCATGACAGCAGCTGAGAAGGACATTAGTCAACAAAAATAAGATGCTTATCATGCTCCTCCTTGGCCATAGTGCTGTAATCATTTAGAGACAGCTAAAGCAGCAGTTGTGTAAATCCCTCAAATACTGGTTTATAATTGAGCACAACAACCGTCACATAACTGTGCAAAACAAACTGTGAAAGGGGAACTTTATCTAAATAAAAGTGCCAGTGAACTGATGTAAGAAAGCTGAGGGTAACATTTCTGCATTCAAGAGTGCATACAATAAACAGTAGTTAAAACTTAACCAAAAGCACAGAGCTTGCAGGCATACAGATCCGTTGTGTAAGCAGGATTTCACTGCCATATTCGGCTTCATTTTAAGTCATTCATACTCGGTATAATAGTTTATTTTAGCAAAGTTCTGCTACACAAATTTGTATTCTGTTTAGACATTTTGGATCTTTGTTCTGAGAAGATGAGGGATTTATCCTTTCTTTCTTAGAAATGTGAACTAAGGATAACCACAGCAGACTTTTGCTCTCTAAAATAATTTAGGACTAAAACACAAACAGAAAGTTTCAGAGAAAAATCCCCAAGATCAATACAAGGGCTTAACAGAGAGGGATTTCTTTTTCAGTTGCTCCAAATCTTTGCTCACTTGTTCAAAGTTTTAACGTTTTAAACACGAACCACATTATTAATTATTTATTATTATTATTATTAATATTATTAATAATAATAATAATTATAGTTTATTTCATTTATTTAGACTTTAAGATTAGATCCTTGGTTTAATTTTTAACAATGATCTCCTTATATGTATGTCAATAGTGGAGTAAAAGGCGAAGTTTTTTTTTTTTCAGAAATGTAGATTACAGTGAAGTATAGTAAAACACAAATGCTTTAAAATTAGTCTTAAGTGCAGTATTGAGTAAATGTAGGTTGCTTAATAGCCATGGCTTCACGCCATAAATCTATATTTATATACAGTTCATCAGTGTGAGCAGCAGCGCCCTCTGCTGGCCCACGGTGTTGCTCCCTCGCAGGACACACTGCAGAGGATGAGCTCAGCTGATTTTGTGCCTCCCCGTTATTATGTCCGCGATCGGGCGCCGCCAACACCCAAAGTCAGTGCGGCAAAACAGGCGAGTGGCGCTCAACATCTCGTCTAATGAATGAGTGCGCAGGAAGAAGTATGAGTCACGAATGAGGTCTGCAGGATGTCTTTCAAGGTAAACCAGCTTTCTCCGTCCATCATTCTGTGCACGCAGCCTGAGAGGGCCGCAATAAGGTAATTGATCGCACCCGCTTCCTCTTGAAGTGCAGACTTGTTTATTTGGGGGTTATTGAACGATCTGCTATGTTTCACTATGAGCCCGGTGAGGTAGCACTTGCTCTGACATTTGAATGGCTGCTTACTGGCCTGGGCGATCATAGAGTCCAACTCGGTGTGTGTGCATCCGGATTTGCTGATGTAATAGCATGTCAAACGGCCCATGGTACTAGCGTGCACGTGAATGTGCGTGCACAAGTATGTCCACATACCTTTTATTACCGGTACTGAGAGGAAACAAATCATTTTACGCACATTTTGGACATGTCCCCCTCTTCTGAGGACAAAAAGCAAGTCCCCATTATTCATGAGTAACTTGTTAAATTTTATGGTAAAGACTTAAAGTTAGCACAAACTTTAAACCCTAACTTTGGTTGAGATGTGATGTGATGTCATAAATATGATTATTAATCTCTTGGCACACTTTATTGATGACTCACCTGTCATTCATATTCAGGTGCATCACAACACTGAACAGTAACACCTGGATGCACTCTGCTGTCCTTACTGTCTGCTCTCAGCATTCCTAATGCTCTAATGGTAACTTTCAGGTCAGTTTTTGTGTTGTTGTGTGTATTTATCCTCCAGAAGGAAACACCCCTGGCTAATGCTGTGTTTTGGGCAGCGAGGAAGGGGAACTTGGCTCTGCTTCAACTGCTACTCAACAGCGGGCGAGTGGACGCAGACTGCAGAGACAGTGTATGGACACTGCATGCTGTGGCTGCTCAGATGCACACTTTAACCATATTCCACCTGTGGTAGGGACACAGAAAGCTTCAAGCCTTACCTGTGGGGTTCATGTAGTGCATGTGTGTACCATCACAATTCCTCATCCATTAATTGTTTTCTCTCTCTCTCTCTTTGTCCTATAAACAGTTGAAAGTTTTGCATGTTAAGCCAGAAATATGCAGAATTCTGTGGTTTCATCCCTGCCATCACTACACTGTTTACCAGGTCATTGCAACAAAACAAATATGCTCATTAATGTTTCTTTCCAGTATGGAACAACAGCGCTGATGGTGGCATCATACAGCGGCCATTATGACTGTGTTAAAGAGCTTATCATGCAAGGGGCTGATATCAACTACCAAAGAGAGGTATGCTGGGGAAATGAAACCCAATGAATTAACTAAATACTCTTACAGACTCCAAAACATAAAGTGTTGGTAAAGGTGTTTTTACATTGTCAGAATTAGGCAAATACAATATTAGTGAATGAACTTGACAGATGTTGACTGTCCAGGCTTTAAATTTAGATGTGTTGACAGATGGATTTATCTTATTTCAATGGAAGCATACTCATGCTAGCTTTACCCCCTTTGTCCAGCCTTTGTGCTGAGCTAAGGAAACTCACTGTCTGCTACCGCCGGTGAATTTAGAAGGTCACTACAACCTGCTGGCACATAGCTCCTGAAAACCCACTAATTGTTGTTTTTACACTTTCCAGTTTTCCAGACATGGATTAGAAATTCGTCCAGACCAAAAGAAAAATATTGAAGTTTTAAATTGAATAAAGTTTTTAGTCTAGGACTAGACTTCCGCCATGTCTGGAACACTGTGCCTTTAACTGTTAATTACTGAGCAAAGGTGTGCATATGTGGATTGTTCTGCTGGAAGACCCAGGCTAGCTTTACTCCCTTTGTCCAGCAGTTGTGCTACGCTAAGCCAGTACTGCATCATCTGGTAAATAATGTCTTAAGATCTTGTATTATGTAAATTCATGTGCTTTAAATTTGTTTATACACCCTCTGGCCACTTGATTAGTTACACCTTGGTAGTTCTGGGTTGGACCCCCTTTTGCCTTGGAAAATGTTCCTAAGAGATTTTGCTCTCTATTGGCATGACAGCGTTCAAGTCGCTCCAGATATGACATCCGTGATACAAATATCCAGTTCTACCCGAAGGTGCTTTATTGGATTGGGATCCTGTGACTCAACTAGAGGTTGTTTGAGTAAAAAGGCAGAAATTGATCCATGCTGTTGTTGTTCGTACTAAATTCTAACTCTACATTCTGAAAGTTACAGCAGACTGTTGTCCTATTTTGGTGAGCCTATGTGAATTGTTGCCTCAATTACCTGTTCATAGCTGATAGGCCACAGCAGCGGGTGCTAGTTCTATCTGCTTAAAAGTTAAGGTTTTGTGTTCAGAGATGCACAACATGTTTATGCAACCTTTGCATACCCTGAACGCCTTAGTTGTAACAAGTGATTATTTGAGCTACAGTTGCCTTGGTTTCAGCCCAAAGCAATCTGGCCATTTAATCTGACCTCTGACATCAAGAAAGCAATTCTTGTTGATGTCAGAGGTCTTGCTGCTTGCTCTTTTTTTTGGGACCATTCTCTGTAAACCCTAGAGATGACTGTGCCAGAAAATCTCAGGAAATCTGCAGGTTTTTTTTTAAATACTTGCACAAAGTAACTTAAATTGACTTTCTTGATTTGAACTTCAACAGGTCTACGTGCCTAAAAAGATTGAGTTGCTGCCATGTAATTGGCTGATTCAATATTTTTGTCAATAAGCAGTTGAACAACAAAGAGGCCAGGGAGTGTAGTCTATCAATTTAGTATCTTTTGGATGTGTTTATACGCGGATTTCTCTCACCTACAGGCAGTAGGTCACCAAGGTAGTTTTCTTCCTTTTTCCAACCGTTCTTATGCTAACCGGCTGGTGTTTCACTGGGAAGCGACAGCAAGTTGCTGCTATAGGTTTGGTGCATATAGTCCTCATTAACTCTCTGCCCTACACTTTGGTTATATTTCAACCTTTGTGCTAAGTTCTTTTTCTGTTTTTTTCCCCGCCAAATAAAACTTTCTATAATGTTAGTTTTATGCTTGAGTAGAATCTTATTTGTAAGAAAACAGGGCCATATGTGCAGCAAAATTCCCCCAATTGGACACTTATTTATTCTATTCCTCATGTCAGATATTCATGAAAGGTTATATTGTGTACACCATTAGGGTAAATTTGAGGTAAACAGCGGTGTCTTTTTTTTTAAACTTTCCAGACAGGTTCTACCGCTTTGTTCTTCTCCTCCCAGCAAGGACACCATGAAGTTGTAAAGCTCCTCTTTGAATTCGGTGCCTCCACTGAATTCCAGACAAAGGTATGCAACAGGGTGCAATGATGTGTATCATGGCCTTTAGAATACTGGGTGTGAAGGAGAATGCTGCAGTGCTATCATCAGACTTCAGAATGTGGAGATAAAGAGACAGCGATGCACAAACAGTGCTGCTGTGACTTTAAAGATATTTTTGTTGTTGCCGAACACTTTAGTCATTCTTGTGCATCCATGTGTGTTTATGTGGCAGGATGGTGGCACAGCTCTCACTGTCGCATCTCAGTACGGTCACTCCAAAGTGGTGGACATCCTGCTGAAAAATGGAGCCAATGTTCACGACCAGCTGAACGTGAGGCTCTTTGCATTTACGTCTGCAGCCTCTCGCTCTCAGTACGCCGTCACTGTCCTGTCTGTTAAGTCTATTTGTCTGTCAGAAACACAATGGTTAGCTGCACACATTGTCCCAGCAACTGGAATCTAGCCTCTCAGGTTTCTGCAGACTGCTGAGTCAGACATG